TTTGGGGAAGTAATCGGTAATTAGTTACTGATTACTTTTTTGTACACGACGTGACAAATTATTTTATTTTTTATGTATGTTTGCATGAATGCATGAAAAACAAAACATATGCGTGAAGAATAAAACACAAAATGCAAAGATCAGCCTAATGGAAAGGAAGAACCATAAACAGCATTGGTCTTATGGTACACTTTCACCAAAACAAAAGACAACAAAAGACAAATTAGAACAATACAAATAATAGTAAAAATGACCCAAAATCCATCTACTGCCAAAGCAGATATTGGATGCAACATATTGCTTTCTTTGCTATAAACACAGTTCATATTGCTTGTGAGTCTATAGCTGATTCTGCATTCCTTTGTTTCTGTCTGGATGTCAGTGACTTTGAAAATCTCATATGGGGGAATTAGCACCTGATTAGTTTTTTTCAGGGCAGAGTAATATGTTATGTCAGCGCCAAAGCACGTTTGCACCTCAAAACATGAGATGTTCCTTGCAAAGTCCCACTCATCAGAGCCTAACATGAAGGTGCTAAACCGAACCTGTTTGTTAGAGATGTTCAGATGTAAAAGTGTCTCTGCTTGAAAATGTGTACTAACACATGTCACCTGGCTGTGTTTTAAAATCTGAATGCCTTCAGTTAGAAAATAATAAAGTGAGCGTGACTCAAATGTCTCCTTTGGTTCTCCAGTTCTATTTGCAGACTTGAAGTTGAGGTTTACAGGTTGCAACATAGATTTTGTGTACATATATAAACCAGCAGAATGATCTTTCTCCAGGTGCTTGTGTTGAGGCTTTCTGGTGTGTTGCTCTGCATTTCTCCAGGCTTCACTGAAGTTTTTAAAGCAGGATTCCCATTTTTGCATCATGGAATTATCATTTAAAACTGTGACTTCAAATATGCAGTCATAAAACATGGCATCACTGTGGTAAAAAGTCAAATTCTCAGTAGATGTCTGAAATTAGAAGGAACAGCTTGTTAAAAAAATATCCAGCAGATGGCGATATGCATTAAATCAACAGCCAGCATTCATCTTCTTTTAGTCTTTTTTAGATAATGGCTTCAAAAATCACATTAAAAGTGTAAAGATTTCAAAACACTGGTTATGAATATTATGATAAAGTGCCACAAAAGAAACCAAAACTTAGAAAACCCTTTATTTTACATCTAACTTTAGCTTGAATCAAAAACAAATAGTGTAAATTATGCAGTATTAAATAATTTAAAGTGGTATACCTTTTTAACAGTATCCTGCAGGCTGAATGGTAGATGTGTGACAACAAAAATAAGAGTAGTAATGGCACATATGATCGTTTTTCTCTGACACACTCGCGACACTGAAGAAGCCATAATTCATCTGAAAAAAAAGAGAATTTAGTTTAAAGTGAATTATTTGTGTTTTCTTTTCTTTTGTGGAATTAATTGGAAAACCTGTAAAATGTCAGTGTATGTCATGTATCTTGGCACAAACCCCCCACCCCCCACATATTTCACAACATGACTGTGTACAGTTCATTTGCTTGCTCTACACAATAGAAGTGTAATAAAAGCCTGTTTCAGTCTATATGTCTATATATACACATATGTCTAGACATCTATTTGCCCTATATATATTAGTTTAAGGCATGCTGGGCTGTGTGATAACACTATGGTGAATCAAAGTGCTACTATGTGAGAGAAAAAAGAGCTACTTGCATGAACTCAGCTTGTGTTGTGTGTCTTTGTAACTAAAATGTTTAGAAAATATGAATCTGTGAGATTTGCCAGTGTTAGACAAAACAAAACTTGAAATGTTTAATAAAATACACCACTGCCAGAGGATCACATCATTAAATGTTATATTCAAATTGATATTGTTGCAGCTTGTCACAATGAGAGAACTACATAGGTCCTAAATTCCTGACACAGTCTGTAAATACTTAATTCCTCTAACATCAATGTTTATAAACTGTCATAGACAAACCAAAATGTAAATAGAAAATTAAATAAATAAAGTTTTTCTCTGTAAGATTTATCTGAACATATCACAGTAAAAGAGGGTAACAACATACTGTAATGTCTCTGTATATATGTGGAATGGTTAGAAAAGACATTTAAAAGATGCATTTCAAAATTCTGTCTATTTTCTTTTTCTTTATTACTTACAATATTATGAACAGCACTACAGTTTAAGGTGGTCTTTTAATTCCAGAGTGAAAATGCTTTAGTCCCCTTTTTGTGTTTTACGGTTGAAAGACTTGCCTTGGTTTTCTGCTTGAGCTAGTCACCAAACAGGATTAGCTAGTATTACCACCTGTAGGACGTCCCTCTTTGAATGTAAACAGTGATACTGACAGAACAAGTGTGCAGGAAAGTTTTCACCCACACGCAGTAAGTAAATGTGAATGTGAATCTGCTGCAAACTGAGTAAAAAGTAAAAATAAAACAAATTGTAAAAAGCCACTGAATGCGAAGAAGTTAATCAACAAACACAAAATACTGCGTAGCTATCTCATGCAATCTAAGATCCATTTTAGCTCTCCAACTTTTGTGAGAGTGTAGAAGAATTTGCACACAGCATCAGATTCCTTTCATACTTTTTTGCACGTGCTTGCACTTACTATTGTATAATATTTATCGATATTCAAACCTCATATTACTTCAATAAGAGTTTCTGTCTTGATGCATGCTCAGTCATCCAGGCAAGGAAATCCCAAGAAGGGACGCAGCGTCATCCAAGTGACTTCTTCAGTCTTAGCTGACTGCAAGTTTCCCCACCCTTATAAACAGTACCTTTGCACAATGACTGAAACTAGCACCAGTGGCGAACAAGGGGCTGTGAGGTGATTACTTCAGCAAGAGTAAGAATAAAAGTAGATCCAGTGGGAACTTGCCTTACATGCTGGGCTTCCATCAGTTTACTGTGAAAGACCAGAGGTTTATCCATACTGTGCATGCATAAACAAGAAAAAAAGCTTCTGGCTTCTCAGCTTGCCAAGCTTAAGTCATTGTTAATTGGAGATGGAAACACCAACAAAGCAGAGACAGCTACACTCTCCTATAAAATAAGTAGAGCTTTCATCTTATCCTGTCAGAATGTCATTGTTTTATATGTGAAGCAGACTAAATAAGGGTTACGTTTATATGTGCAGATTGTGATCCTCTAGTTAGGATGATGTTGAAGCCTAGAAAAAAAGAGCCATGCATCAGTGTACTGGCAGTTTAGAAACAGTGCCATCAAGTGGCCATAACACAAATATACTCCCATTTGTTTTTCATTTTTGTATGCCATTACATTAGAAACAGCAATTTTATTTTTAAAAAGCCACCAAAATACAACAGCAACAAAAACAAAACAGTTTACTTCATACTGAAATATTTAGATCATTCACAGTCATGTGTATGATCTAAATGAATTTATGTTGTTAAAAATAATTAAAGCTCCTAAAACAGAAGAATTTTCCATTCCCGCAAAATGTAGAGAAGGAGCTGTGGAAACCCAGTTATTAAAAATAAGCTTATGCAAATGTTAAAGGCACTAGGAACATCAGCAATGAAACAATGCAATGGGAAAGGAGCAATTATAAAATTATAATAATCGGCATGATTTTCATCATTCATCTCTTCAGTGTATTATTGTTCTTCCTCTCTGAAGTGCTTTCATTTGGCCCAAAATGTTTCAGAGCCCTGATAGCTGTGAGGCGATAGAACAGCATTACAAAAAACAAAAACACATTTCGAAAGAAAAAACCCCCACATAGACATCCAAAGGGTTTGAATATGTGTACATAGAGCACATGCAAGAAACAGAGGCAATCAGCCAAGCAAACAACTATGCACCACTCTGTACAAGCAACCTAACAAGGCAGACAACGTTAACATAACACTCAATATAGATTAAGTCAGAAGACCAATGGGAAAATGAATGCTTTGAATCAGCCTAGTAATTTACAAATTACTAGTTTTACAAAAAGGATGTAGAATGAAGGAATAAAGACAAAATATATCTTAGCTATATCTTAGAAGAACATGGTGTCAAAGTGCCTCTGTCTCATTTTGATATTTGCCAAATAACATATACATTTTAAAGGAAGACCCAGGATATTGTTGACTGCATTGTATGCATTCAGACTATCTAATTTAATTTGTCATGTCTGCAGAAACCCACGACCACTTCATCCTGACCCAGGATTTGTAATGCACTTTTTTGTAAGGTTTTACACTGCAGCACACAATAAACATGTCATGCATACAATACTGCAATACTGTCTGCAGTTACTATAGCAGTTAAGTTTGTAATAAGACCACAAATATTATTAGATTAAATGTGTACAGTTTAGCATTTGATAACACTTCTAGAGTAGTGTGATGACTGATTGCCTCTAACGCTTGAACATTTGCATATGGGGATATGGCCGTGCTTCATGTCTGTTTTGTGGGAAACGTTCAAGGCAGTGTTGTACCTCTGGGTAATTTATCATTCAAATCATCTACGCAAATGGAATGCCTGTCCTATGACCCAAATTGGAAGTTAAAGGTAATAGCTTAAAATAATATATACGGTGAACAATAAAGGTAATCATTATTATTAAATGAGAAAGTTTATCTTTCTTTTTTCCCCCTGTTGATAATGTTCTCCTGCCACTCAGATCCTTGACCAGAAAAAGCCAAAGAGAGCATCAGAGAGAAAAGAGGAAAAAGAAATAGGCTTTTTGTTTACTGAATGAGGTCCCTGTAAACCACATGAAAAAACAGCTGTAAGAGATGTTGTATGATGCAACATATTAACTAATTTCCTCTCAAAACATTATTATTTATGTAATTAATGTTATCTAAGAGGACATTTACAAATGACTTGCATATTGTTCAAAATGAAAACAAATACTTCATTCGTTTCTAAAATGGTACTTCAGTTGTTAGCATCCTTTGATGCTAGATTAACTGGTTTGACTGGTTAGATTTACTGGAAAACAGAGAAAACAAAAGTGTCCATTTGAAATTCCATGAGCAGATGATAAATTATTATAAGAAGATATTAGAAAACAAACAAACAAACACACAGAAACAAAACAATAACAAAGACACAGCACTTTCGCCAAATATAATGTAAAATTGATTGTTTTTAAGTACAGCAATGAATACCAAATAATAATAAAGGCTGTTATAACATAACATGTAGCACATGCTATGCTTAGGACACGTGTATTAGCAAATTAATATTAGCAAATTAGTTTTTTATTATTATCTAACCCTAGTATTTTTCTCTAAGCAAATATTTGTAGATTTATAGCATTTCTACATTTAATACATTAATTCTAGAAAGTTTTACCTTAAAACGCATTTATAATTCAGAGTAATTTAACGTCCCCTGCTGACCAGGGGTTCAATTTCTTACTTTGCAGGAGTGATTTTGAGATGTATCCACGACTCCAGTGATATCAGTTTACATGTGCAAAAGACCAGACTAAGCCAGAGGAAAGATTGTGGCTGGG